TCGAATGGTATATAATAGTTGGGGTTTTATTTGACTATGATAGGAAACGTTTTTTACGAAAGCGGAGATAGGTCGATCTTCGCATAGGGAAGCATAGGGCAAAATAACTATTTTTCCAAAAACTCAGCAATGGCTCGGCCAATCGTTCTCATCTTTGAACTCGACCGAAATATTGTTGAGACTAAACTGTGTAGAAAATTCCATTGCGACCGGACTCTCCTTTCAAAAGTTATCGTGTAAACGGCTGGACACCCTGACCGATTCTAGAGTGTACTCACTTTTTGAGTACACAATAAAAGAAAAAACGTATACGTCAAATAGTGTCAAGTATATTAAATGCTGTTAATCATTTAAATTCTCATCGTGTTGTTCATCGAGATTTAAAACCTGAAAAGTAAAATAAATAAAAAGGAAAACATCTTTATTTTATTTTATTTTATTTTTATTTAAAAGTATTTTAATTGATTCAACAATGAATGTTAAAATAACTGATCTTGGTTTTCCTGTACAATTAAATGAAAATGAATCATTATTTGATCTTTTTTGAATACCTGGTAAAATTATCAAAAAGTGAATGAGACAAATTAATCATCCTAGAATGTGTGGATATAAAAATTAGCCTGGCAAACCTTTTCTATAAACACTGGAATTCTATTGACTACTGTTCAATCAATAGAATTTTGGGGTGAATACAGCTCAGATTTGGACTCCTCGCCTTGATTTAGCTAAGAAAGTCGTTTTTCCTATAACTTGATTTCTATTAGCCAGTGCTCAACCAATGGAGCTTCGAGGCAAGTGGAGTACACATTCGAGTTCTTCACCCCAGAAAATTGTCAAGTATCACCTCTGTGATAGAAAGATAGAGCTCTAATTGAGATTCAATTAGAGCGTGGACAAGAACACAACCGACTTCCGTTTATTTATCTTGGCAATAGGTGAGGTAGCCTCAAGGAGGAAAAACTATTTGGGCATTCGGATCCATTCCATCCATTCTCATCCATTCCCATCCATTTCCATCCATTCCCATCCATTCCCATCAATTCTCATCCATTCCCATCCATTCCCATCCATTCGAATGCCCGCGAATGAGTTTTTTTCCCCTTGGTATATACAGTAATCTAAAATGTATTTCTATATTTTCATATATGTGTTTAATTCAACTGAGCTTATGATGTCTATAGATAGAGGACTGTATGAACTGCGCACAGACAATAATACAAATACAGCAGCGCTTCTTATTGTTTTTAAATAAAATCAGTTCGGAAAATTTTCGAACGTGGGTGTAGTCCGCTTGATAAGATTGAGTCAGTAACATCGAAATACCCTAGGCAGCGTGGTAACTTTACACATCCACACCAACTTACTCGATCGCTGAAAAGCAAGAATTGAGAATAGCAGATTGAGCTCCTCTTCTTCGTCAAGGGATAGATGCGTCTGTTTTGGATTGATTACCCACCCACCCTAACTCCCACTCTCACTCCCAACCTCACACGCAGTAGTCAAAACATGTTGTATGTGGCTTTAAATTTATCTTCTTTATACAGCAAAGCCACACCCTCAAGATCTGTCTCTTGATTGGTACGCTCACTTAAATAAGGAATTAGTTTTATTTGGGCAAAGATCGACGAGAGAAAAACAAAGATTTGGATTAGCAGATTAGGTTTGTCTTATCTTTAAGAGATAGAGTCAGTGTATTTTCGATTGATTACAGAGGCATGGACAGCGGCAAATATCAAAACCATGCTTTGCAGCGTGATCGTCAAAATGATAATTATAAAAGTAACTACATGTTACACTAGGACCATTAGGACGACGGTGCCAACGATTTTCAGCGCATATGTCATAAGATTCACCACGACAGAAACGCTCGTAATCACGATCAAAATTACCATTATAACACCAATCGCAACATTTGCCGCAGCGAGAGCAAGGATTACCACGACACAGCGGTTGTTCAACTTTTTCTAGTGCGAATGATGAAGTGTTAGTTGGAACGGCCGATGATATGAGGGTGTGGGTGTGGGTGTGGGTGTGGGTGTGGGTGGGTGTGGGTGGGTGTGGG